CCATTCACTAATCACATATAATTGGTCTGGCTCACCTGAACTAGAACACATTTGTTATTATAATGCATAATTAAGGTTCTTTTCATTTTGCTGCTTTCCAGATGCAATTATCTCTCTTTTAACAAATGCAGAGAAGGAAACTTCTTGTAAAACTGAAGATACATTTGACAAATTAGTATAATTAAGAAAATGTCCCTGAAAGAGGAAAAACTTTCTAAGTAGGAACACTGTCAGTTCCCAGTACTTATTGCTGTCCTTTGTGACTTCCATCAACAGCAGAAATCCTGATTTACGTGCGGGATGGAAGTGCCCAAGTCAGCAGGGCTGAAATATGAACATCTTGGTGTTTTTGCTCTTCATTTCCAGTCCTCTCATGAAGAAGAGATTTTTGCTCTTCTTTCCCCCATTCCTGGAGCACAGTGTCCCCATCTCTGCTGAGTTCTCCCAGTGCCAGCCCTCCTCCCCAGTCCCCCTGGGCAGTGTGGGCAGTGGCATCGGAGCTGCACAGAATGGATTCAGGTGAAGGATGAGGTGTTTTGGGGGGAAATCCTTATGAATTGCACCTCTAAAGTGAGCTCAGACATTGGAGCAGAAGGTTTTGCTGCCAGGCTTTTAGTGTGGGCTGGGCTTGAGCCCCTGAACCAGAGGCTCCTGACTCCAATCAAACATCCTGGTGTTTCTGCTCCTCTGTCCCAGCTGCCTTCTGGAGATGCACATGTGCTGCACACAGTAGGTGTAATAATCTGTTAAATATATAAAACACAATAGAAATCTGTTGGCTCCTGGGAGCCAGAACAAGCCTCTGATGCTGTCCCTGCAGTCCCCATGGGACATCCCGGGAGATGAACCATGGCAGGACAAGGGCACAGCCCCAGCTGGGCAGGGCAGGCTCAGCTCGGGCACAGCAAGGATTGCCCCGTGGAGGGGCAGGACAAGGGCACAGCCCCAGCTGGGCCAGGCTCAGCTCGGGCACCACAAGGATTGCCCCGTGGAAAGGGTGCTCAGGCCTGGCAGGGGCTGCCCAGGGAGGTTTGGAGTGCAGTGCCCATCCCTGCAGGTGCCCAGGAAGGGCTGGATGTGGCACTCAGGGCTCTGGGCTGGGCACAAGGTGGGCACTGAGCGCAGATTGCACTCACTGGTCCTGGAGGGCTTCTCCAGCCGGGATAATTCTGTGAAATTCTGCAGAGATGATCTCCTGACAGAAGACATTCGTTCTCAAAGCTGGATGTGTCCCTGTGCAAGGAGGGACATGAGGGCAGTAGGAACAGGGACATCTCTCCCTAAATTGCAGCCAGCTGCTCCCTGCCATCCCATATTTGCAATATCAACACAACAGGTTCACTTAAATCTCACATTCTGAATGAGCTTGCCTCTTTCTGATGCATAATTTTGCCTTTTTCTGCTGCATAATTACTTCCTGTAACTTAAAACTGATTTTAAATAATGATGTTAAAGTCAGTGATGGGTTAGAGGCTTATTAGTATCTTCAGGGATCTAAGATTAAAGATTTTAATATTAGGAAAATGCATGCAGCTATTAATGTGTTTTTGAAGTGTAAAGCCTGTCTAATCTAATTTACTGTATTACAGTATGAGCTATAATTTTGACTAATTAAATGCCTCTAATATTTTTGCTAGCTTAAGCTTCGATTAACCAATATTTACTTTATTAGGATAAGATTAAACACCTCAAGAAAAATCACTAAAAAGTTGAACATACCAATTTCCATTGGAGCAATGGGCACAAGGAAGCCAAGAGCCATTTTAGAGAACCAAAGTGTGCTCAAAGATCGAGCACACCATTTCCCTAACAGTCACTATTAAGCTGGTAAAATAAATTTAATAGAATGTTGTAAGCACAATACTTTGTAATGCAGGACTTATTAAGGTGCAGGAGAAGCAAATTGCTTTATTCTGGTCTGTTTGTGCAGCCCACAAAGCGAGGCAGGTCTGAGACAGGTGGAGGCTCACCTTGTGTGGGTTCTCAGTGCCAGCCAGAATGAATAATGACTATTTCTGTGTGCAAATAGGAGGCACTGCAGGGAGAAAATGCAGCGTGACTGGAAGGCAATTTATTGAACTCCTCAGCACCGTTAAGTGCAGAATGAAAGCTGCATTTCCAGGCCAGGGAATGCATCAGGCAGGACAGGAGCTCGCAGTGATAAACAAAGGAGAAGGTTCTGCACAGAGACAGCAGAGGCATCTGAGCAGAGCCCTGCCTCCAAACGGGGCTGCCAGCAGATATTTCACACTTAGGCTTGTCAAACACACCTATCCTCTGGGAATAAAACACCCCACAGCACCACAGACAGTTTGTAAACAGCCCGCAAAGGGGAGGCAGTCACTGCCTGTCCTTCCTGCTGAGGGATGAGCCCGCAGGAACACAGCTCCCCTTGCCCAGCAGTGCCCGAGTGCTGAGCGCTCCCTGCTCCCGCTCCCTCACCCAAACCTGGATTTCTTGGCAAGGGGAGGAACAGGGAGTGGAAGAGAGTTTTTTACCCTTTTCCTCCCCTTTTTCCCCCACTGCCCTCTGAGAACTCGGTTTTTAATCTGAGCCCGCTGGGACGGGAGGCTGCTCCAGGAGTGCCTTTGGATGATTCATTCACAGGCACATCTCCTGTGCTGGTTGTGTCCTTTCCCTCCCTTTGCACCCCACTCCACACCACCAAAGCTGCGATTAGAAGCTGAAGCACTGCTCTTGCAGCTGTTTTGCTCTCTGACCGAGCCTTTCTGGCCCATCCCCTGCTCTGAGGATGGATTTTCCCTCCTCCTGGTCACCCTGGCAGCTGTCTCTGCTCCCCTTTTTGGGATGTGCAGGTGATGGGGAGTGCGTGCTGTGCTCCTGGGGAGCCCTCAGCAGGAGCTTACACTTTCTAGGGGAGAGAACCCAGAGATTTCATTTTCCCTGCTCGTGGGAGCCCAACCCAATCAGACAGTAAATTTCCACACAAACACCAGTCTGCTGCAACTTTGCCATTCCTTTAGAGGCTGCACTTTGCTCCAAAGGGAACATTCTGTTTTGGAAGCAGCTGTGGCACTCCAAGGGAGATCAGGCTGCTCCTGCCCAGTCCCCATCTGGCTCTGACGGCACAGAAGTCAGAGCTGCACTCTGTGAGAGGTGCAGAGCAAAGCCCAGCTTGCCAGAAGGGGAGGATGGCACGGGGTCATGGAGTAAGGGGATTTGGGAGCAGCCAGTGGTGTTGGTAGCCCCATGCCACCCCACAGCACCCCTGGCAGCTGTTCTTGTGCAGCTCCTGGTGAAAGGCAAACTCACACCCACCTCTGGCCTCAGTCAGACCCAGCCTTCCCAGCAGAAAGTGCTCCAGAGCACTGGCTGCAGGCCAGCTGCTGTTTGTTTGTTTGTTTAAAAGATGTTTGTTTGCACATCTGCCCTGCCTGTTTGTTCTGCTTGGGTGTTCTCTGCAGGCAGCCCTAACCTTGAAAACATCCTGGAATGGTTTGGGTTGGAAAGGACTTAAAGCCCATTCAGTGCCATGGCAGAGACACCTCCCACTGTCCCAGCTGCTCCCAGCCCCAGTGTCCAGCCTGGCCTGGGGCACTGCCAGGGATCCAGGGCAGCCACAGCTGTGCCAGGGCCTGCCCACCCTCACAGGGAACAATTCCCAGTTCCCAATCTCCCATCCCTGCCTGCCCTCTGGCAGTGGGAGCCATTCCCTGTGTCCTGTCCCGCCATCCCTTGTCCTCTCCAGCTCTCTTTGGGCTCCCCTCAGGAAGACATTCACTGAGAAGCATTAAATTACAACCTACAGAAATAATCTCATTTTGAAGCCTATTGTAGAATAACACTACTAGTTTTTTTACTAATATTCTTTATCCTTTACAATTCTGGCTCAACAGACCATAGCTGGGCTATGAAGCACAGAGCAACTACAAACAAAACAAAGGGAATTTTTTTCCCCCTGAAAATAATTCAATTTAAAAGCATTTTCCTCACCCTTTGCAGTGCAATGTTCACCAGTGTTTATAATAATTGTTTTTGTTTGGTTTAGTAAGGTGTAACCAATGGTACCATGCAGCAGCACACTGTCTGTTTTGGCCACGGCAGTGGAACATAAATGATCAAATTAAATGAATATGATTGCAATAAATATTACTGGGATGGAAAGAGAAGTTAGAACAATTATCCTGAAATGAAGTTAAACCTGAAACAGAAAACTTCCGTACCATAATTGCAAAAAATACTTCCATACATTAACCTGGAACTTCCCAGCCCTTGTCATCCCTTGCAGTGCTGGCACCTTACCTGGGAAATGTTGTTTTGCACTTTGTGAGAGGAAATGTCTTGGTCCATTGCTGCCCAGAGCAGTGCCAGGAATGATGTACAGAATTTTTAGCAGTGGGCTGGGGATCCATAAAAGATGCTGCATGTGATAGGAATGCCCAGGGGATATGTGTGGAGACAAAGCTCTGGGTGCCCTGGGTGTGACACTGCAGGGAGGGGAGGTGACAAAGGGCTCTCCCCTCCCCGGACACCCACAAGGGCTGCTCTGTGCTGCTGACCCAAGCCCTGGCACGGCACAGGGACAGCAGTGCCAGCTCCTGCCTGGCTTTCCCTGGGATCTGCCACTCAGGAGGGGCACAGCTGACCTGGGGGGAGCTGGGGAAGGCACCTGCAGGTCCCCTGAAGGAATCCTCGGGCCAAGAGCTGCCCGTGGTGCAAATGTGAGAGCAAGCATCCTCTTGCTGATGGAGCACACTTTGGAGGAGGTATCACTGCTAATAACGATGCCTGAGGGAATGGGCTCATATATCATCACGCTAAGGATATTTATAAATATATTTTAAAAGCAGGAGGGGAAGTAGCAGGCAATTTTGCTTCCAGAACATAAGTCAAGTGTGTATTATTAAGCCTAAATAGCCTGGATTAATCAAATGTCATACTGGCACTTCTAATAATGGCTTTACATTGCAAATTCCATTACCTGGCTTTGCCAGCCAGGAGAGAAGCTACAGAAGATCAATTAAACAAACAGGAAATTACCTTTTCTCTTTATAGTCCGTGACTTTCAGCACTTACAATGGTGCCAGGATCCTGAAAATTAAACAGGCATTTGCATAAGATTAATAACTCACTTGCTTTCTCCCCAAGTCACTGTGGCTTATTTAGGACCCCAGAGTTATCCGAGGTCTGCTGGAGAGGCTGGGGATGATGGGAGCAAATTAAAAATGGCTTAATGTGTCAGAGAGGATCCCACCACGTGGCCAGGGGCTCTGCTGTTAATAAAGGCACCTGCAGCACCCCAGAGATGGATGAGCAAGGTCTCAGCAGAACTGATGGGGGTAGGGCTGTGCCTACACTTGTTCCTGGGAATGTTTCCCTCCCTGGAGCATCCCTGTCCTGCAGGGGGCTGGGAATGGTCACCCTGGAGGGCTGCAGGGAAGCTTTTGGGGACAAAACCCTCTGTGCCATGAGCAGGGAGCTGGGTTAGGGCTGCATCTCAAACAGGGCTCATTTCCCTGCTGCTGCTGATGGTGGATGATAGATTTTTAAGGTAGATGGTAGATTTTAAAGGATGCTCTTCAGGGGGATTTCTTCTGTCCCACAGAAAAGAGCAAGGGGTGAATTTCCAGCCCCAAGTTTTGCCTGCCTTTGCTCAGGATGGCGTTTGTGCCAGCAGCACCAGGTCTGGGATGCTCAGAACTGTTGCAGCAGAGTTTGGGTGGGGCTGGGTGGGAGCAGCCTGCAGGAAGGCACAGGGTCCCTTGTGAGACACAGTAATTGCCATGGGGTAAAGCCAGGCTGGCATTTGCAGGGGAACAGCCATTCTGGTGGCTGCTCTGCACATCCTCACCCAGCAGGGCCAGGGTTTCTCTGGCCAGGAGTAACTGCTGAGGTTGTTACTGCTGGAGCTGCTTACCATGCCTGGGAGAAGAGGGATGTTCCAGGTGCTCCCAGAGCCGGCTGCTGCAGGATCCTGGCCAGGCCGTGCCCTGAGATTGCTGGGGGATCATTGCCAGAGGGAGCTGAGCCCAGAGGAATGGTCACAGTTCCAGGAGCCCTGTGTGGAAACCCAGAGCACAGGGTGAGTTCAGAGGGAGCTGAGCCCTAAGGATGTGCCCAAACCCCTGCACGCTCCCCTGGCTGCTCCTGGGGCCCCAGCAGGATCCTCATCCCTCTAAGGAAAGGCTGTGGAGGGCTGCAAGGAGGCCAAAGTGCCCTTTAGGGGCAGTTCTAGACAACAGGCACAGAAGGTGGGAAGGCAGGAGAGCAGAGATCTTTATCCAGTCCAAAAGAAAATTCCCTTCTGCTTAGGGTGAAGGATTATGGGCAGCTTCATGAAAAAAAGGAAAAAAAAAGAAAAAAATTAAACCCCTGTAATTCCTCACTTTGGTACATGAAATGAATATCCTTAAAAAAAAAACCCAACAACCTAAACCAACCAATGAACCAAACAAAAACCCCAGCAGGATTTGGCAGTTAATTCCTCCGTGATTAAAGGATGCCCAAACACATGAGGCAAACCCAGGCTCTGAGGGTGATTAAATGCTGAAATGAACCCAGGGACATTTGATAGCTGCACAAGCAATTTACTGCAAATGTTCCTTCTAATTCTGATGGCTGCCAGAGTCTCCACTGGAGGAAAATAGCTTTGAGTAACCCCCAAAGACAGATTTTTGTATATGTAATAGCTGTAACAGGGGGAGTTTGGGAGCCTGTTGCTGCTGGGGTTTGGTTTGTTTGTATTCTGAGTTTGCCATGCTGAGCTGGGGCTCAGCTGAGCATTGATGGCCTGGAGCTCACCAAAGGCTCAGCCCAGAGAGCAGGATTGAACAGGCAGACCCGTGAGGTATGCACGGAGCTGAGTGTGCCCAGTCACTTGGTCCCAGGGTGCGCACACATTATCTGGGACAGCACTGCCTGCTTTTCAGGAGTGAGGGAGGGTCAGCAGGGACAGCTGGAAGCATGACAGGAAGGAGAGCAGAGCCAGCAAAGACACGGGGCTGGGAAATCACCCCAGGTAGGGAAAGAAGGTGAACACAGAATGAGCTTTGCTGGCCTTGCTGAACACAGGGATTGGGGGCACCAAGGGCAGCTGCCCAGAGCCCAGAGTGGAGCAGGGGCGATGGAAAGGGCTCCTCACACAACCTGCAGCTGTGACACCTCTTGCCACAGGGCACTGAGGAAGCTCACAGCCTTCCATGGGCTCAGAAAGGCTCTGGGGAAACGATCTGGCCAAGATGCTGATTGCAGAGCCGTGGCTCTGCCTGTGGGGCTGGGGAGCTGCACTTGCCAGGTTATCAGGGCAAAAACTCCTGTGAGGACAGGGCTCACACCCCACCGGCAGCAGGCAGCTGAAACCTGCTGTACCCAGAGCTGAAAGTGCATCCCAGGGAAATCTAGGAATGCTCACATTTGGAAATAGTCAATTAAGTCATTCTGGTTAACAGCTTTAATTTAACGAGATGTAGGCACAACCTTTATGCCATCTTAATATGCTTCTGTCCCAGCATCTCCTTGGTTTTATTAAGATTTTAGTAACTTTGTAAGCAGGGAATTATGTCTGGTATTGACTGAGTTATGGCTAAGTTAGAAGCCAGCGAGTCTGGGACCTGACAATTCATTTAATTCCTGGTTCCAGACTTGTTTGTCACAGACTGCTCTTACTCTCCTCAAAAGTTACAATCTCTTTTTGGGCTGGAATATCTATCTGCAGTTGATTTTGAGGATAATAGCAAATTAGGGCTCTTATCTCTGTTCCGTTACCCAGCCTCAGGCACCCACTGCTCAGAGGGGCGAGCATCTCTCCATCCTTGGCAAAACCTGTGCCAGGAGAAGGAACAAACTCTTGGATCCTCATGGGAAAGGAGACAGAGGTGGGGCTGCAGCAGAGATGAGGTTGGGAAACACAAGAAAAGCTGTGTGGCTGAGTAATGGAAACTGAAGGGGAAAACTGAAGGGGAGGAGGTGCAAGTGAAATGAAAAGTGAGAGGGAAGGGAGCATAACAGAAGGATGATGTGAGCTAAAAACCAAGGCGAGGAACAGAACAGCTGAATAAGGGCTTGAGAGGAAAACTCTGCAAGTTGTTCCCACTTTGGGGCTTTTTAGGAAAGGAGCCTCAATTTTATGCAGTAATAAAGAATAAAATGTGAGTTTCAAAGCAATGTTGGTTGGGATGCGCTGGAAAGGGAATAAAGTGATTTAGGAAGGAAAATATTGGCAAGGAAAGTAACTATTGGCACAGGGTGAAAGACCAGGAGTGATGAGTGAATAAAAGTGGGGATGAGAAACAAACTGGGGCACAGAAGGAAACCAAATGGCTTTTTTGGGAGCAGGGAGCAAGGCAGTGGCAGAAAGGAACAAGGGCACCAAGGGAAAGGAAGCAAAATGCCACAGTTGTTATTTTGTTAGAGACTGGAAAAGCAGGGATGGGGGAAGGAAGGGCAGAGGAGAGGCGTGAGAGGACCCCGAGTTCAGCCTCTCCAGCCCTGGGGGTGCTCAGGCAGGGCAGAGGGGCTTGTGGCAGCCCCACATTCCTGCTAGAACCTGGCCACCCCCTCCTGCTCCTTTCTGGCACTCAGATGTGTGCCATGAGCCCAGATCCATGGGGAACCCTCCCTCCAAGGGCATGGCAGGGGAAACACACACAGGGCAGGGCCATCTGTGTGCTTTGATCCCAGCACTGCCCAGGACAGGCGGATGGAGCACATTAATTCCAACACTTGTCTGTCAGTGCCCTCAGTGAAGAGTTTTTTCCTAATATCCAACCTGCACTAACCCTCTCGCAGTTGGATTGTGCATTTGGACATTGATGCAAAACACTATTACCCAAATTCACTGTAATTCTCCAGCACCATCTGCACTATGGCTAGCACTTGAATAAATTTAAACAACCCTTCAATTTTTCTGACTAAAATGTTGTTGCTATTTAATATTCCCCAGTTTTCCTGCTGCACTTCCCCCGTGTCGAGATCAGGCAAGGGCTCTGTGACAGCTTTAGCATATTTGCAAAAATTAACTGATTCATTTTTTTTAATGCATATACTTTGAATAAAGCACTCATTCCCTCTCCATTTTGGATGGAATTCTTACTTTTTAAACACAGTTTCTATTGTTTGAAGTTTTCCTGTCTCCAGTAGTACCAAATAGAGGATATGGTAAAAAATATTATGAGACACACACCCAAATATTTCAGTGGAGATAACAGTTTGAATCCATCCACCAAGTCCTGCCCTTTGGCAGCTTTTCCTGGGAGATCCATGGCCTGTTAGTGGTGTGTGCCATTTGGAAAGTTTGTGGATACTTCTATTGCAATTACATCTTACCCAGTTCTGTGGTGCTCACATGAAATTTCTCTGTAGCTGCCACCACCTCTGGGAAAATGAAACATCCCCCAATTAAAGAGCAAAGAGTGGGGCAAGGCTCAGAATGGAAGCTCAGCAGGAGACAAAAATCGCATTTCTCTGAGCGGATTAGTGCAGGAAGCTGGGCCCTGGGAGTTATGAGCGGGTCAGAAAAGGGAATCTGTCAGAAAACACAGAGATTTTGCTCAGAGGAGCAGTTCTACACCTGATGGAAACTGCAGCACTCAGGGCAGGGAATATCTCAGCTCCCCAGGGTTTATTAGGCAGCATCCCCTTGCTGCCTCAGTGTCTCACTGGCTGCACATTTACCCACCTGAGTGGGCAAGGATGGCATCATTTACATTTGCAAACCCAGCTTTTATGTTTCTCCAGGAGAGTTAACAGCCCTGACAAGATTTCCCAGCTGCATCATGGCTACATGGAGGGGAAGAGCCCATTTCAGCATCCCCTGCCTCCTCTGCATATTAAACAGCATTGCTGGGGAGGGGTGCATTAAACCTCTGTCACATGGGGTGTGAATCTGAATTACTCACAATATTTAGATGGAATCACTCTCAAGCCTATGGAGAAGAGTGGAAATTAAGTTTTATAAAACCCCTCATGTTTTGCCTCCTTTAACATAATACCTTTTATTTTTGTTGTTGTGCTTCTTTTATTTTTTACTTGATGGGGGCCCTGTTTACTTTTTTTTAAGTGTACTACTTAAAAATAAAATTTTATAAGACATATAGCCCATGCTTCATAAATCCAAATGCTGGAACATGGAAATAGTTTTTAGAACTACATTAAGGATGATCTGTCTTTTTTATGTGTGCCAAAGGCACCACAGTGATGTTTTTAGGTAATGCACCATAAGTTTGCCAGTGCAGCAGACCCCAGGGAAATTATTATAACAATAAAGCACATATTTAAAGAAAGATTTTTAAGATTTTTAGAGCTGTGTTGCAAAAATAAATAGAGTAATTTTGTTGCAAAAATAGATATAGAGTAATTGTATAATTACTGGTTTACTTTTTTGGGGGGAGAGGGTTTTTTTTGAGAGGATATCAAGTCAGGCTCTGGTTTTAGGGGAGCAATTTGCCAGAGACAGATGACTCTGGGAACATTCCATAGCACAGAACCATCTTTCTGTGGGATAATCAGGTAGGCAGAGATGCACTGCCAGAAAGTGCCCTTGCCCCTAATGCTTGGAGTTGTACCTGTAATTACCTGCAGGCACAGAGGCCAATCCTGAGAAGTGGGGCCACAACACCTTGAATAATTTACTGCAGATGGGTTGGGTAGGTGCAAGTAGTACAGAATCCTAAAATCCAAGGCATTTGCTACCAGCATGTGGAATTGGTGAGCATGGGCCCAGCCCCTGCAGCACAAGGCACTCTCTGCACAAGGTGCACTGTGCTGGCTGAGGGAATTGTGATTAATCACCACCACGTCTGAATAATGCAAAGGAAGCACTTCCAGAACAGAAGTCCCTGCATGAAGAAAAACTTCATTTCTTTAAGAAAGAATAAATCTTTAAGTGATTTGATCTTTAAAACCCCCTTGCTGCTCGCAGATGATTTAGATATAGGAACATCTCCAGCACATGCATGATTCAAAGACTCTTCTCAAATAAAGTCTTTTGATGGAATAAGGGAATTAAACATCAAACCCAACATCTCCCAATTGCCAGAGAGTCCTTGGTGTGACAGCTGGTCAGCAGAGAGCTGACAGCTCCATCACTCAGTTCATTACCCAAATGTTTCAGAACACGAGATGATTTTATTAAACCAGGGATGTCTCAGAGTTGTTAAGAAAGCCAGCAGAAAATACTCCCTGAAAGCTAAAAAGAAAACACCAAAAATGTGTTTGGCACTCTGGATGGAGCCATACAGCTTCTAGCTGAGCTTTGCTTTTTTTATTATCATAATGCCACAAAATAATTTTGTGTGCTAAGGAAAAATCAGTCTCACTGCTAGAACATCAAAGCAAGCCCAGGCCATGCTGTGTTTTAAATAAAAGGACAAACCTTTGGTCTCTCCATTTCTTCCTTGCTGGAAAGCTGCATCAGCAATCTTCCAAAGGCTTGAAATGTGGAAAACACTTCATTTTCATTTCTGCAAATTCCACTGGTTTTCAGATGGTTCTCACATCTCTCCATTTTCAGCAGAGAAAAAAAAGAGGGAGAAAATGAATTAATTTAAGTTTGCATTGCTATTGTACAACCCTCCTAATCTTTAGTGTTTAATTTGATGAGTGTCATGGGGCAGGTTAGGTAAAGTTCATGTCACAATTTACCAAGTTCACCTGGATTTAGGTAGGGCATGTGGCAAGATGTCTTCCAGGGCAGAAACAGCGTGAAATTCATTTTTACATCTTGGTGTAAAAAATGCTCAACGTCCACATGAGGAGATTTTAAAGATTTCCACCCCTTTGGAAAGATCCCAGAAGCTCACCAGAAAACACCTGCAAAAACAAACAGCGAGTTGAGGCAGCAGGAGTTTGCCAGTCAGAAACTTCTGGATGATATTTTTAATTTTCTCCTGCTCTTCATTTCTTGCCAGTTCTCACACATTGATCGAAATGTGTTAAGGACCAGCAGCAATTTCTTATATTAATAAGCTAACTCGGCTCCCTGCTGCAGCTTGATTGAACAAAAATGAGTTCTAAATGCCTAATAATGTACTTTTACTGCCTTTTCTGTAATTCAAACCTTCAGTCTGCCTCTGCTCACCCTTTTGGGGGAGGAATTCCCCTGATATCCAGCCTGCCCCTCTGCAGAGCCTTCCAGCGCTCCCACCTGGTCTGGAGTCATCTGGGTGTTAAAGGGTGCCCTCATTTCCCTTTTCTGAAACAGTTCAGTATTTCAAAGATTTCATTTGCTACACTGGATATGAAGGCAATGGTTGCTCTCAGGAAATACTCCATATTTTGTGCAAGAGAGATGAAATAATCATCAGGGAGCAAAGAGGAATCAGAACGAAGCTTTACAAGATATCCACACGCAGAAAAGTGTGAAATTTCACACTTCCATGTTCTAACTCTTTTATTTAAAGAAGCTTAGTGTTTGTTCTCCTCTCAAAGCCATTTAGCTGATTTCTATTTAATGCTCTCTCAAATCCCAGGTGGTTTCATGTACAGGTTTCACTGAGCAAGGGGTTTTTGATGCAGCACAGAGCTCAAGCTGGCTCCCTTCCTCTCAGGAAAAGCAGCATTTCCAGAATGTTCCCAGGCTAGGGAGGAGCGCAGATCTCCTCTGCAGGGCTGGGTTTGTAAGAAAACGGGGTTTGGGAGGTTTGGAGTGCCCAAGGGAAGGCTGGAGGTGGCACTCGGTGCTCTGGGCTGGGCACAGGGCGGGGATGGGGCACAGCTGGACTGGGTGATCCTGGGGGCTTCTCCAGCCTCAGCGACCCCGGGATTCTCTGATAATGGAATCGGCAGTGCTTCGGTGTCCCTGAGCCTTTTCCAAGGGGAATGACACCTCCATTCTGTTACTGACCCCCAGCTCTCCCTGATGTCACAGCATTCCTGCCAGGGCAGGCAGTGCTGGGCTGTCCAAAGGCCAGGCAAGTTCATGGAACGCCCTTCCATGTGGGATCAAAGCCCATCCCCAGCCCAGGCAGCTCCAGGGGAGCTGGGCACTGCCCTCCCACTCCTTCCAGCCTGGGCCTGCAGGGTCCTGTGGCTGCTGTGCCCTGGGCTTTGCTGTGGCATTTCTGACATCCCAGGGAATCTCCTGGCACCTGCAGCCCACACTGAGCTCAGGCTGCCACCACATGCCATGGGGACACTTCTGAACCTGCAGGGTCCTTCACTCAGCAGCTCTTGGTGAGCACTGACAGACAGAAGAATGGAGAAGGTTCCTAGGGGGTGGGTGGCCAGTTCTTCCTAATTCTCATGGGAGCAGATATCCAAAACCTGTTGCCAAGGTGGCTCTAAAAACCACAGACATCATAAACAAACAAACAAACAAATAAATACCAGGATAGGGTGATTTTGCAGCGGCACCTGGTTCCACAGCAGGTTCTGCTTGCTCTGGGAAGTGGCTGCACAAGTGTACAGAGGCACAGAGCGAGGCAGGAGCCCCCAGCTGAGATCCTGCAGGACACAAATGGAATGCAGGCAGCGGATGATCCTCAGCTGAGCACAAGCTGCAGGGGAAAACATAAGCTTCAATCAACTCTTGGAAATAATTTGAGCCCAATGCCATAAGTGCCTTAAATTAAATCCCTCTCCAGAGCAGCCAATCTGAATCATTAGACATATGTCACGTAGTGAGCCATGATCACCACAAGAGTGGCATACACAGCGTTCCATTTACAAAGGGGATGCATGGCACTGGGTAATTTCACCATTTCTCAGTGTTCTGCGTCTCAGGAAACACAGAGGGGGAGCAAGGCTGGTGCTGTCACACCCCTGTGTGACACACAGCGCTCTGCCAGCCGCTCCCCTGCCCCACTGCAGCCTCCCCCCCGGCTGAGCATCCTTTGCTGCTCCAGGATCTCACAGAGTTCCAGGAGCAGCACAGGATCTCCGAGGATCTCCCAGCACTAACAAGCAGCTCAGTTCCATGCCCTCACCCCAAAAGGGAGCCAGTCAGTTCTGCCAAAAAACAAACCTGTTTAAATGTGTTCATGGAATATCCTGAGTGGGAAACCTGACACACACCGAGGAAAACTGAGCAAGGGAAAACAGCAGCTGCATTTTTAAGTTTGTTTTGAAATTTAAGTTGTTCAATCAGATTGGTGGTAACACATGGAAATGATGGCCATTATGTGCCATCATTTGTTTCATCAGTTATGGAAATATTTAATTGAATCAAAGCCATCTTTACACACTGAACTAATTACAGCTTCCTCTTCACAGCAAGGGTATTTTGTGGACTTTCAATGGAAATTGCGAGGCTAAAAATGTCGTATTTCATACTTCTAGAGTCCCATACTGTCACAATCATACTTCTAGAGTCCTGTACCTTCTCAGTGATATTTCTTGGGGGCAGTTCTTCACAGCACAGACTCCTTCCTCTGCCTGTTGCTGCTTCTCAGCCAGGGCCCCTTCCAGGCACTCCCTGCCTGGCCAAGCCCACCCCCTTTTATCCCAGTTACCTTCACTGGCCACAGCTGCAGCCCAATGAAGGACAGCACAGCTGCAGCCCATCTACAACAACCGGGGCTCATCAGGGCAAGGCCTATACAGATATTCAATGTACAATACAGATATTCAAATACAATACAGATATTTTACTAGAACTCCTACTATATAAAAATAACCCCTACAATATTTATGCCCAGTGGCATAAACTTTCATGTTTTAAAAATATGAGTAACAGTTTAGTAACTCAGACATTCACCTTGTGGGGCCTGGAGATATTCTATCAGTTTTTCAGATAATTGTCTTTTGCTTTCTTTCATGTCTTTATTAATTTTTAACACAGTTTTAACCCTTGGGTAAAATTACCCAGGATTTTCCTGCCAGTTTTTTCAAAGTACATATCTAACTTCCCTATCCATAAGTGTAATAATTACAACTAATACGTGTAATATAATAAATGTAATAGCTGTAACTACCATCTGTAATCAGTGCCAATAATTCCTGATAAAGCTGTTCCCAGTGAGGCTGCTGCAGTGGAATGTCTCAATCTGAGTGTGATTTGTGGTGAAGGACACTCTGAGTTCTCTTTTGAGGGAAGCATTACAAGGAGAAAGCGTTCCTAGAGTTGTTTGGGTTCCCATCCCATATTTCTCTCGGAGTTGTGTAATTCAGCACTTGATGTACAGTTGTCATCAGGTGCAGCACTGTTTTGTTTACACTTGATGCTTTAATATTTGCAAATGTAGACATTGAATAAGGCATTCTTCAGACTCAAATGGCCCTCAGAAGATGGAGGAATAGAAATGTTCCAGATTGGTAATTACCAGGGAAGCTTTAAACTGCAGGCACCTCCATAAGTGTGTGTTCAAGAGGCAGCCATCATTATGATGAGGAGATGTGGCAGCTCAGAGCCCAGGTGCTGATTAAGCATCGCTCATGAGGGTGGAACTGCTGGCAAATCTGCGCCCCCACCCCTAAGAGCATTGTCTCACATGAGCTCCTCACACATTACATTCCAGGGCTGGAAGTGTGCCTTGGCTTTCTCTAAAACAGCTGCTGCCGAGGCTGCGAGGTAAATACTGGAGAGTGGCAGCCCATTTTCTCTCTGTCCCTTCCTGATACCTGAGGAATTAAGGATGAAACTGCATTAATGGCACTTAAAGGGAGGCACAATAATGATGCAGCAGCACGGGGAAAACAAGCTGCTGCAAGGTTTAAAGAAAATCCTGAGCAAAACCTTCCTCATGCCCCCCAAACATGTCCCCCAAACACCCAATGTGTATCTGGAGCTTCAGGACAATCAAAGCCAAGGATCCAGTGGGAAATCTGGTAACATTTGGGTTTATATCCTTCCTTCATGCCAAGGAAAGATAAAGGAGGGGATTTTTTCTTATCATGAAAACCAATCAAATCACTTCTGTCTCTTTGCAGTTATTATTATTTTTAAACTTCAGGTTTATCCTCCCTTAATGCCAGGTCTGGCACAATCTGGGGAGAAGGAAGGATGGGGACAATCACAGGCCAAGTCCTCTGCAGCTTAGCTGAATGATGTGAAGCCTTTTTCCCAGAGTGAGAGGAGCCCTCCAGCCTCAGAGAAATCTGCCATCAGCAATTGTTGCATTTGGGAGGGAAGGCAAAGCCAGAATTCCCCCTGGCCTCGTGCAGAGGCTGTGCCAGCAGGAGCTGCTGTCCTTTTGGATCGCCAGTGATTGAACTCCTGATCAGGACGGGATTTTTGCATGGTTCCAAGTGCAGAGTGTGCCCAGCAGTTTCCAGATGGGGGATCTGCTGCAGCCCTGGGGCTCCCAGGCATCCCCCATGGCCATCACTCCTGGCTGGACTGGCAGCTCTGCCTTCAGGGCAGCTGGAATCCAGAAACAGCAGCCAAAGACCAAAGTTGGAGCTTAAAATGTGCCCCCTGCCAACTTTAACCTCCCTCCACACCTCCTCTCTGGAAGGGATGTACTTTGGGACAGCCTGTGATCTGATTTATCCATGCTTTTTCAGGATAAACTGGGATTGCTTCAGCTTTAATAAAGACCTTACGTTCCTAAGCATCTTAGAGATAATAGTGCTTAATGGGCACTCAGGAAAAGACAGACTGTGTCATTTTTAAAGATATAACCCTGACATTTATGCACAAAAATGCTGTTTGCTAAATAGTGCTCATTTCAAGGCATTGTCTTGGATTTTGAAATGCCTTTCTATTCCTGGCTGACAGCTGGAGAAAAATGGCTCTTCCTGCAGCAGTTCCATTGCAAATGCAAGCTCCAACTGCTCTGCAGTGGGGCCATCTCCCCTCCCCTCAGGCTCCTCTCTGGAGTGACTTCCAGGGCTCTCTCGAGTGAACGTTTCTGTTTCCAAGGCTCATCTGCTGTCAGAGTGCAGAAAAACCCGCATTTATTGCTGCTTTCTGTGCAGCCACTGCACAGGACAGTGTAAAGCACTTTTTGTACAGATATCCTCCTCATTTAACCAGGTGTCTGTGTCAAAGCAGTGGCAGAACCCCTCTGAACTCCATTTTCCTTGCTGTTGTTTTAGGGGTCTCTTTGGCTTCCTTGGGTTTGAGGTTTCCTCAAGTGTAAGGTACAATTGCTTTGTATCTGCCCAAAAATTCTCACCATATTTGTAAGCTATTGAATACTTTTGAGATGGACTCAGATCAAAGCAGTAACAAAAATTCCAGCAGAAGCAGGGCTCTGAAAGACTCACAAAGGCAGGAGAAAGCAAGTTTATTTTCCAGAGAGACTATTTAAGCTGTTACAGCGTGGTGGGAGGAATGCTCAGCCATGAGGGAATTTGATCAAACCCTGCTGGGAGCAGGAGAAATGTTTGGAACAGCCCACAGCTCATGGCCCAGTGCAGGCAGAGGGAAATATAAAATGTAAAGGAGAAAAGCAACAGCTTTAAAACTTCCTATCAAATTGAGAGTTTGCACCTCGAAAATCATGCTTTAGTTCCTGCCTGGTGTTGCAAGAGATACCTAAATCAGGTCAACCAGATTCTTTTGCTGTTTGTAAAAAGGAAGAAGTTCATTACTTAGAAATTCTGTAACACGAATCATGCCAATTGTGCCTTTGGGAACTATCTCCACTTGCAAGCTGAAGTGAAATAAATCCCGTTGGAAAAGGCAGATCCTTGTATCTTAATAAGCTCAACTTTTTCTATATATACATACACACATGTATTTTTATCCCTCTGCTTTCCAAAGGATCAAATCAGGGCTCAATGCACCTTTCTGGAGTGCAGATAATTATAAAAACCTGCCCTGGCTCTCAGGGGGATATTTTGGGTGGAGAATTACTTTACCATTTTTATTTAGCCCAGAGTGGCATTTGTAGCAGTTTTGTCTCTGGTCATTCAGCACCACCCATGCTGCACGGAAAGGACAGAAAGGCTGAGTCCCTCTGAGAGTTCAGCAAAAAAAATCAAGGAAAATTTGAGCAGCCTTGTTACAGCTGGGGGCAAAACCTTCGCAAAAGCAGCTGGAATAAAACCACATCTGGAACATGGAGCTGGGTTTTGGATAGGCAGTGAGGAACAGAGGAGATACCAAATGTGACAAATAGGCAGGGACCTTGCTATAAACAAGTCTAGTCTTTTTTAGAAAAATCCCATTTGCTGAGTTTGACACTTGGGGTCATTCCCTCCCCTGGTCAGGGTTTGTGTCCTGAGCCTGTCCCAGGTCTCAGCTGCCCAGAGCCACAGAAAGGAGAATTAAACCATCCCCCAAGCCCAGATCCAGCCTGCATTTATTGCATGTAAAAATTCCTCTGTTTGGCTGCAAATATCTTACAGTCCCGAGAAGCTTGCCATCTACAGGGACAAGGAGTTATTTGGGGTAAGGGAGGCTGAAATCCAGGGGGGTTCCAGAGTGGGGTCTTTGCCTTTCCGTGCTCACCACCTTTCCTTGAGGACTCTGATGGCTGGAAACAAGGAGGGGAAGGTGCAGGAAGGGCAAGGGCAGAGCCCTGGGCTGTGTTTGAGTGCACCCCAAAAGCAGGAGCCCCCAGATGGGTGATGAGGCACAGAGGGGCACTGATCCTGGAGCTGGCAGGTATCAGCCAATTTCTGGATTATGCTGTCAGAGAGGTGACTTTGCAAAGGAAGATGCAAAAAACTGTGAGCTGTGATTATTTTCTGAGCAGATGATGTGGTGAGTGCACAGGTACTGCCTCCCAGCTGGACACCACATGGCACAGGAGAATCTGTCCTTTGCTAAGAGATAAGGATGGGAAAATATGCTTGGAGGGGGTTCCCAGTAGCAGGTGCTGCAGTGCAAGTGGAGCTCTGTCAGAGGGAATTATCTGCAGGAAAACATCTTCCTCAGCACTGCTTTGCTGTGCCCTGCTCCTTTCTGAGCCTTCCATGTGCCCGCAGCCCCAGAGAGTGCCTGTGATCCAGACCCCTCTGGAATCCACATCCCTGCCAAGGAGCCCCAGGGCAGACCTTGTGCTCGCTTGGCTTCCTGAATCCCCCACATTACCCTGGCACCAGCAGCAGCAGCACAGAGCTCCCAGCCATTGGGGTTCCAGCTCTCCTTTCCCTGCAGTGCCTGCCAGGGGGTTTCAGTGAGTTCCCTCGCTCCTCCCGGGGTTCCCTCTGGCAGGAGGGGAGAACCAGAATTCCTGCAGGGATGGGTGTCCAGGTGTTTGTGGGAGCCCTGCTGGCAAAGCCCCTGCCAGGGCTGGCACTGGGCTGCCTCTGGGAGCTGTGGGAGGCAGCAGCATCCGGCAGGGCCTGTGCTTCCACACGGCTGCTTCCATGTGTCAGCCGTGTCCCAGCTGACACTCAGCCCAGGAAAATCCTCCTCTGAGCCAGGACAGGAAACGTGGCCACCAACCAGGCACTAACAGGGCTTTATCCTCAACCAGAAACAGTCACAAGCTGTAAAATCCCCCACTGGGAATGGATTCAGCCCTGACCTTTGCTGAAATTCCCTCAGTCCCTGATGGCTCCTTGAAATGGAAATGTTTGCTTGGCACGGAGAGCTGGAGGAGCTTTTCCAGGTGTGCCTGCTGAAGTGTGCTGTG